TGGCCCATCTTGTCTCATGGCTACAAAGTTGGCAATGTTGTTCTTCACCAAGAGTGATTAAGGTAATGCATTGCCTTCATTTAGGATTAGAAACTTCAATGGCTCACCACAGGGATCAAGTTCGAAGCACCCCTTGGCTAAGAAGTAGATGTTTATATCATAACTTGTGGAATCCCTTATATTTGCAATAATTTTACTTGAAGTATGTTGAATCTGGATCACCAGTCATGTTTAGCGGGTAACTAGCGGCCCAGTGTTGAAACTCCTTCATCCGGCACCTCTGATCTGAGGGCGTCAACTGTGTCGCCCAAGCCGGTATAAAGTCGGCTATGCAGGTTGTCTCTGCTGCGTAGTTTTGGAACTTTGTCAAGCGAGGGATTCGAAGCTCTTCATACCTATTTGAAAGAACCTTGCGTTATAACTTCTGACCGTCGTGAGACTTCGCACAACTTTACCTCATCACTGCTCGCTTGAGATCTTCCGGATTTCCAGCCGCGAGGGCGGGGGAGAGAAGCTCACAAAGCTGATGAGCGTCTTCGAAGGCTGTTCTTGCTCCTTGGGCGGGGCCCCAATGCATCGCATGAGCAGCTAAAAAGAGAGAAGAGATTCATGTAACAAAACTTCATCGAAAAAAAAACTTACCATCGCCCATGAGCACCACCTCTGATCCAGATTGCTCCAGCTCTCAAGCGGAATTCGGTCCTTGATTCTCCGCTGGAAGATCTGCCCCGCCTCGGTTGCTTCCACCGCGATTTTGAGCGGCTCCCACGCGGGAGACGAGCCCAGAAGCTTGTCAATCTCTTCCAGCACCCTCGCCTTGCCGGATTCATCGCAAAACCCCCCGCTGGATTCCTTCGCGGTGCTGCGATCCTCAACTCTAAACACCCACAGCGTGTAATCCTCGCCTAGAGCAGCAAGAACAGTGTCAACTTCCGTACAAGAGCTAGATCATCCATACCGGAGGACCGTACCAGCGCCGACGAGGTAGCATATTGATGGGCCGCCGCTCCGGGTGATTGCGATCTGGTCTGGATCGTGCACCGAAAATCTCCCAGGATTGTGGACGAGCGCATTCCAATTGATGAGGTGGAGATCCCACGGACGATCGGCAGGATACATCGCTCGCCTCACCGCCGAGTTGATTCCATCGGCACCCACCACGAACTTGGCACGGATTATCGTGACCTCACCGCCGCATTGGAATCGCAGCGCCACGGACTGATCGTCCAGGAAGTAGTCGAGGAGCACGTGAGAGCAGTGGATGTACCGAGCTGGGACGCGCGAGGCGAGGATGGATCTGGCGCTGCGCCATTTGACGACGTAGAGCTCGTCCTCGCCATAGGTCGTCACTAGGGTTTCGTCACCGGCGCCATTGCGCGATCCACAGAATGTGACCTTGGTCGTCTTGGTGAGGCTCGCGACCGACTTGATCGCCGCAGAGAGGCCGACACTAAGGCGCGGCTGGCTGCGCATCAATTCCATCGGGGAAAGATTGAGCGAGGAGATCTAGAAGAGATTTGGGGAGAATACCATTGGGGCCGAGGCTGACCGCCGTGGCTGTGTCCGCGATGAGGTTTGGGGATTTCTCGAACACGTGAGCTTGGATTCCTCGAGAATGTAGGCCCGCTGCGAGAGCAAGGCCGCCCAGCCCCCACCAACGATGGCCACTTCCATCACCGGCTTATCCATGCTCGAAGAACTGCCAGGAGAGGGCTTCGTACTTGGACTTGTTCTTGTTAACACCGAGGTCGTGGGTTGGAACCCACGTTGGCTGAAGCTTGATTTGAGATATATCCGTTTACCTAGTTATTATGTAGATTAGGAAATGGTGTCAGTTGACAAAGTTTATTATTATACAAATGAGTGTGATGATAATTTGATTATTATGGAGATAACTTTGGAAATGAAGTGGAGATTTTGTGGGGAAAACACATGTCTCCTCTCAATGTCCACCCTTTTTAGTTTTCTTGCTCCAATAGCAATAATGCCATTTTAACTCCAACCTAAAGGAAGAAAGAACTTGGCAAAAAAAATCTACATACCTTTTCTACACTCTTTGAAGTTCTATTGAACAACTTATCATAGTAGAAACGGATTCACTGTTAAGACCACAGATTGTAGCTTTGGTAGAGAGAAGAAAATAAACACATTCACTTATGGCTACTGTTGCCATGTAGCTATGTGCAGATCACCTACATGTTGATTGCTGCTTGCTGTATCCTAGGTGTCAAGAGCATCCAGAGCAACACTAGATTTTCCACAAACCGTTCTCCACCATCATCGTGTAACCAGATGAAGCATCATGATGTTGTGGACTTCATTGCTATTGGGATGCACTGAGACAAGGGAGAGCAAGATGGTTTTGGAGTTATTCAAAACTTTTGAATGCATGGGGCTGGAAGCAACACTGCAACCTTAGTAGCAGTGCTGCTGATGTCTTGTGGGGCTTTTGGTGGATTTGGAAACGGGAAGGGAAATCCTGGATTGGAGAGAAGCAATGTCTCAAATAGTGTCATTGTACTTTCTGTCAGAGAGGTTTAAGTGTATAATTATAGTATCCATTGGATTGGTTAGTAAATTACATATTTTATATCTAGTCAGCCTTCAAAATTTACATTAACTTAAACTCATGACCTTCAACTTTGTCTACCATTGTATATAAAATGTTGAACTCCTCTCCATAAAAAAACATTGAACTTAGTCCATTCTTTTCTTTTATCCCCTCCTCAAAAAAACAAAACAAATTCTAGCTACCATATATGTTCATTAAAAATATCTATGCATAAAAATGTTCTACATAAGTAAATATTACAGTATTAGTAAGAAAACCTCAGGGTTTAGATGGAAGTGACAAGAACCACTAATTCCTTATTGATGATTCTTCTGAAGACAAATGCTTTAGAAATATCTTACTTCTTATAATTATATATAAATATTATTATGAGTGCTTGAAATATGAGAATAAGTGTATTAGTTATGGTTTAGATCCCTATTTATATATAAAAAGGGATGGACCAAATTCAGTCCCAAATGGTAGTCTAGTATAATGTAATACTTAGTCAAGGTATTTTATTTTATATATATATATATATAAAATTGTAACTAATTCATCAAAATTCCATAATTGGCTAATGTTTTTGCCAAAGGTTTAGTTTTATTGTTGTCACAAGTACAACATAAAAGTTATTGATGCCATAGAAGTTTCAAGAACATGTAAGTTAATGGGAATTTCAAGTTTTTGCAGTGATGTGCAATAAAGCAAAAGCTTTAAATGGTCCACTAAAGTTACATTCATAATGCTTTGTCCATCTTCTGAAAGGGAGAATGGTGTCATATCTATAAATACATGTATGTCAAAAACATCATCCTAAACTAACTATGTTCTTCTATGCTTAATCCTACAATTTTCTTTCAAAAAATTTAAGGAATACAAGCTACAATTTAAGTGCAAGAATACCACCTAGGACACTGCTTAGATGACTAAGACGAAAAGAGGAAAAGATCGAAACGTAGAATACTATAACAGCATTTTACCAAGACCATTCGCGTTTGGAGTTCACGGCCTTGACACTGGTTGCAACGAGTGGCATGCCGCCGAAGAGTGTCGTGAAATAGTTGAGGCATCTTGATCTTTTGTGGTTGTGATCCGTCAAGCTGCTGATTCCAGAAGAACCAATCTCCACAATGCGGCCTGGAGCAAGCAATCACTTACAAATCCATAGCAAAGCATACTGTGACCTCGCACCTTTCACCCAAATTGGAGGACCACCCGTTGCGTTTGCCACGAGAAAAGACATCGCAATGTCTTCGCAGTTCCTGCGAGTTGATCATCCATCAAAGTCGCACAAGTCACGAAGAGCCAGGAAAAAAACAAGCATACCTCTCGTTGGCGACGTAGTTACGGATGATCCGAGGCATCTGGTGCGTGTAAAGCTCCAGATACTTTTTGTGAAAGAACGCGACCTTGGAAAGAACCATGCTGTATGATCCAGTCCACCAAACAGTCCACCACCCTCCATACTTGTAAGTAGTTTGCGCTGGAATTTGGCTCTAGAGAAAAACCAAGGAAAGTGTAAGAAACTGTTGAGAGATTTTGTTTTTCCTTCCCAGTACCTTGGATTGTACCCAGTGCATTCGTGGAACAAAGCCAACCATGGTGTCTCGAGCACTGAGCCAAACGTTGAAAGCAAACGCCATGGTGCCGCAAGAAACAAGAACGTCATCGTCCACGGAGAAGACGGCGTCGGTGGTGAGGCCTTTGCTCGGTTTAAACCTGTTGTTGAGATTGTCTTCCCGGTTGATGTCAAAGTGGAGCTCTGGAGCTCGGGAGCCCCGGCGGTTCTTGGCGATGGAATCCAGCAGAGCCAAATGCAGTTCGCTGCTGGGCATCTCCGGCTCGCTCCACACAACTCGAAACGCGTCAATCCCCTTGCAAGTCGAGTAGTGCGCTACCGATTTCTTGAGCAAATCGTTCCTCTTCCAGGTGTTGATGAGCACCGTGTAGCGCTGCCTGGACCAAAGCGTGGATGTGTAGCCAAGAACATAACCGAGAAAGAAATCTCTGTTACCTCATGCGATCTTGACACTCTGCCGTTCCGTGCCTCCATCCCATCAAAGAAGACGCCCGGCGCGCGAGCAGCGCCGTGGACAAGAGAATCGCGACGAGCACAAGCAGCTTGATGTGATACGACGAGTGGCCGGAGAAGAAAATCCGCCATCGCTGGAGCAGCAACCGATGCTGATCCCTCTGCCCCTTCATTCGAGCCAAGAAACCCTCAAAGATCGACGATTCAAGCGCCGCCTCGCCTCATAGCGATCGCGACAGCCCTGGAGCTCGCAATGCCATACCCTAGATCGATCCAGCAGCGCTCCGCCACAATCTCCCGGGCCAACGGGAGAATCCATGCCTCTTCTCTGTCTAACTGAATATTCCTCTGTGGATACGCAGGATCGTAACGGTTTTTACCGGTTTTACATTTTATTTTAACTCTAGGGTTTAGGGTATGGCGGAGCTCCGGCATCGCGCGCACAAGAAGGTAATCTCTGATCAGCAGCGGCGCCGTGATGTGGCGCTCGATCGGCAGAAGCAGCAGCGCCGCGATCTCCAGCTGCATTTCCGGCAGCTCGCGACGGCATTGGAAGGTCAGCGCGTTGTGGAGGAGGAGGAGGAGCACGAATGGGGTCTCGCAGAGGGGACGAGATTACAGGGGAAAGACGCCAGGAAATGGTTCTCTGGGCAATTCATGCTTCCGGAGTGGCTGATTGACATACCCCTAGGCCTCCAAAGTGACTGGTAAGAACACAATTTCTAGCTTGCGAAAATTCCTCTCACTGCTGCTTCTTTCTTCGGTGGAGGTATGTCATGGCTAGACCAGCAGGAAAGCGGTGTATCGTCGTGTCCTCTAGAGGGACTACAGTTAGCAGGCTTCGCAATGGACGAGTCTTACACTCTTTTCCTTCGGCTCTGCCAAGTGGCGCTAAAGTTTCGAGTGGTCCCATTCAAGGAAGTTCTTCGTTTACAATTCTGGACTGCATTTTCCATGAGGTAGACTTTGTGAAAAGACTTCCTTTGTTTGTTGATCTTATCCGTGCAGGCCGATGAAACGTACTATGTTCTCGACATCATGTGTTGGCGTGGGTATTCGCTGTACGACTGTAACACGGAATTCAGACTCTTCTGGAGAGATTCCAAAATCGTAGAGACGGACGCGCTCAAGCCGCCTTCAACTCATCACCGTTATCGCTTCAGCTTGCTTCCTGTTTACGAATGTAACGCAAAAGGTTTGGACGCTGCCTACAGGGAAGAACAGACATTCTTAAGAGATGGAATTCTTTTTTATAACAGGTTGCAGACAGGTGTTTTTACGTTTCTCCTAATACAATGCGTGTTCTGGACAGGCATGCGCATTACACAGTGGGATACACACCGTTAGCGTTGCTTTGGAAGGATTCTCAGTGCAGCCAATATTTGCTAGACACTGATGCCAAAGGCGAGGTTCCATCCCTTCAACAGGTTGGTACTACGGCGTTTTCTTCCTGGGACCAGCAAGCTAATGTTTTTTTTTTTCTCTTTTTTCGTGAAAAGGTAGTCCTCGAACTCAAATCTGATGGCACTGTTGGTACGAGTGATGATCCTTCTGTCATACTGGGGACCATGCCAAGACAAGTCCTTGAGCAGGTTAGTTTAGCAGGTTATGGCTTTGGAATCTCTATAACCTCTAAATAATCTCTACAAACTTCTATTTTCTCTCAGAATCCTACATTTCTGAAACCGGGGACATTACTTCGCTTTGCAATTGGAACGGACGGCTTGAAAATTGTCGACGGGAAACCATTTGCAGCAGACATTCATTACCAAGGACCTGCGAATAAATATCGCCCCTGTGCTGATAGCTGCACCAAGGTTTAATCTTGCACAGTTCTTTTTTATGACGTTCTAATGTCTCCTTTTCCTTTGGCCTTTGCAGATTCTTTTCCAGTATGCTGCTCGGCACTCACCGATCAACATATCGGACATAGTGGCAGCTATAGAAAACCAGGACGTGGAGATGCAATGACGTCGTCAAAATAGGTGAGGCTATCTTGTTTTCTCCTTTAAAAGAACGTTTTTGCAATCCAAATCTTAAAGTGATGAGACTTAACAGGCTTCTCGGAGACTGCTCGTTTGTATTGCTGTCCGGAGATTGTCAAGTTCGTTGAAATGAGCTTTATGTTTATCAGGTATTTTTGATGTTTAGGTGGCCTGATGCTAAATTTGAGCGCTTTAGATCAGATCAAAGCCAAGAAAAGCAAGCGATCATTCAAAGTCCTAAAAAGAAATGGTTGTATAGCTTGACTTGAGCAGTGCCCGGAATCTTATCCCGATCCAACGGTGGGCAAGACGACCATATCCACAATCTTTTCCTTTCCACGGCTTTGGATCCACGTGGCAGCAAGGCTGGTTCTTGTGGCCGGCATTCCACTCGAGGGGATTTCCGCACGTGACATGGCTGATATTTTGGCTCTCGTTTTTCCATCCAGAATAATCACGACCCATTTGCTGTGGCAAGTAAATGCCATGTCAGCAATATCGGTCATGAACCCCAGTCGTTTTTTAGATTTCCTGCTACTTTATTTTATTTGCCGTGCCACAATGCATGGCTGGCGGGCTGCCACGTTGCGTTGCTTTATCTTTTACTTTTATCGTACGCTTTGGCGAGTAATTCGGTCATATGACATGGCCGTACAAAATATCATGATATTTGCGTCACTAGCAGGGCCCTTTTGCTAAAGTGCCAAGGTATGTGAGCCAAGCATTCAAAAAACTTTACTCCATTGTTGTGGGCGAGCAAATGCCACGTGGTTAATGTGGTTATTACCTTTATCGAATCGAATTCGATAGCTTAAATGAACTTAGTAATTTCCTAACAGCAGTTAGTTAAGGCGCGCAAACTAACGACGAGTGGGAAAGCGGGGTTAAGGGCCGTAGTAGGGCTTTGCTTTTTGGAAGGAGGAAACGAAGCTTTTTCATCGTCGGCAGCACAAGGGGCAAAATGCGAGCTGCGCGGGACGAGACGAGCATCGAGGAGCAGATCCTATCGTCGGAAGACCAGGTTTGCTCGATTTTCCACAGACCCAATGTGTAGATTTGAGCTTGGGGAGATCGTTTTCCCCCTTTTCATCCCTCTGATGAATCAAACTCTCTTTTTTTCCCCTTTTTAGGTGCAAACAAATCACAGCGACGAGAGCTCGCAGTTGGATGATCTGGGAAGCTCTTCCGGAAGCTGTGAAGAGGACAAGCCGGATGGAGGGGGGAATCGCCGTGGCGACCAATTTCTCCTAGATCGCCCGGCGCCGGCGACGAAGAAGAAGAGAATCTCCAAAGACGGAGAGACCAAAGATCGCGAACGAGAAGAAGAAGCGAACAGAGGAGAGAATGGCAATGGTGGCGAGAGAGACGAAAGCGAAGAAGACGGAGAGAGGAAGATCCAGAATTTATCACAAGCACCACGAAGTGGAGAAGATCACCACCACCACCACCACCACCACCACCAGCAGAATCCCTTCCAGCACGAAGAGCAGCAGCAGCATCACAACTGTTCCAAGCCGGTGTTGAAGAAACCGGACAAGCTTGTGCCGTGCCCGCGCTGCAGCAGCATGGACACCAAGTTCTGCTACTTCAACAATTACAACGTGAACCAGCCCCGCCACTTCTGCAAGAACTGCCAGCGCTACTGGACCGCCGGAGGGACGCTGAGGAACGTCCCGGTGGGAGCCGGGCGGAGGAAGAGCAAGCACTCGTCCTCCTCCGCTTCCTCTCACCACCACTCTCATCCTCACCCTCATAGCAGTGACAATTCCTCCTGGAACACCACCACCACAAACAATCACAACCACAGTCACTGTCACAGCCAAAGTCGCTCCATGAACCACTCCCAGGAACAACACCAACATCTCCAAGATCGTCACCATCACCAGCAGCAGCAGCAGCAGCAGGAGCAAGAGAAGCAGCAAAAGCAGCAGCAGCAGCTCAAGAGGGAGCTCGCGTCGGAACTCAAGCAGCGAGTTGGATCGCGGATGCGGCTACCACCCGTGATCCCTCAGGACCAGATGTGCCACTTTCCAACGCCCGCGGAGACGAGCCCCTCGGGGAGCAGCATACTCACGTCGCTCAACTCTCCGGGTGGTCCGGGCAGCATCGGCTCCATCTTCAACATGCACCTGGCTGCGGCCGCGGCCGCAGCAGCCGCCGCAGCAGCCGCCGCAGCGACAGCAGCGGACAACCCGAACTCGCCCGACGCAGCAGGCAGCCCGGCCGGGAACTCGTCGTCGGTGTCGAGCAGGATGAATCCCTGGGTGGCGGATTCATCTGAAGCAGCTCTGACTCAAGCTGCATCGGACGTCAAGGAAACCAACAGAAACGGTCCAGGTGCAGGTGCAAGTTCAGGTCTAGGATGCGGTGGTGCAGCTTGTGTCGGAAATGGTGGTGGCGGATACAACATGTTCACCTCCGCCACTCCGGCTTGCTTCCCGTGGATTCCATTCGGCAACAACGCGAGCAACGCCGAAGGTGGCGGCAATCCGGCCGAAGTTGCGAGCTGGCTGAGCAACGTCTGGGCCGCCAACTTTCCGGCCTGGGCTCCGTTCGCGGCAGCGCTTTGGGCTGGCGGAGGAGGCCCCGCTTCTTCTGCTTCTCCGATGGGATGGAATGTCCCGTGGGCGGCGGCGGCGGCTGCTGCGTTTGCGGCAGCGGCGGCGGCCGCCACCTCCACCACCACCAGCGCCGCCGCCACCCCAACGAACTGTTCGTTGAACTCCGCAAACGCGACTGTTCTTGGGAAGCACCCGAGGGATGGCGGCGGAGGGCGATCGCTCTGGGCTCCTAAGACGCTGCGGATCGATGATCCTGGAGAGGCGGCCAAGAGCTCAATCTGGGCGACTCTGGGGCTGGAGAAATCGGCGGCGGTCTCTCCGAGTGGTGGCGGCGGCGGTGGCGGTGGTGGGAGGACTTGTGGATCTTCCGGCGGCGGCATTGTTTTCAAGTCGTTTCACAAAGGCAAGGAAGGCAGCGAAGACAAGGCGCACGCAAACCCGGCGGCGCTGTCGAGGTCTCTCAGCTTTCACGAAAGGAACTAAAAGAAGAAACGAAGAACAAAAAATGGGCGGCGCCACCTTTTGTACAGAGAAAGCAAAAGCGCAAAGTGTAACTTAACTATATACAGGCTTTTTTCCTAATGGTGAAGTTCTCTTGTTCGTACGGACTTGTACAAAATGTTCCGTTAACATTTTGAAAATTGTCCATCGAATATTCGTTCCACGGCTTTAGGGCTTGAGGTCTGGGCTTGGAGGGCAGGAGCGCGAGAATCTCGGCGGAGGTATGAGAAAGGAATGCGAGTGTGAGCGTAGAGTGCCCGGGATTTTGCGATGACAAGGAGGAATTCAGTGGCCGGGGCCGTGGCGAGGGGTATGGAGGAGGATCCGGGCAAGCTCGTCGCGCAGATCCTGGGGAATCAGGTCCGGGTGAGCAAATCGGTGGCCAAAACCCTACTCTCCATGAGCTCGGGCGCTGGCCCGATCGCGTTGGCGGAGGCGCTTCTTAGGGGCATAGAGCAGGGATTACGGTGTCTCGAGGCAGGCTTTGATGCTGGGCCACGAGAGGCCGATTACTTCAAGACGCCATCGCCTCCCAGGAGGAAAAGAAAGAGACAGGAAGAATTGGCTGGGCACAGGGAAGAGGAACGAGGGATTCCTTCTAGTCGGCAGCGGGTTATGGCAGGATTGAGAGGCTGTGTTCTTCTCTTGCAAGCTGGGCTCTCGCAGTGCAAGAAATTCTTTCATCCGGCTCGGCTACTTCCAGTGGTTCAAGGCCTTCACGAGAAACTAGTTGTGCTGGAGGATGACCCCGAGCTCCAGGACGCCATCTCCGAGCTCTGCGAGCTGTGGTGGCGAGAAGGATTTGATGGAAAGGAGTCGCTCATCGCACAGTCGCTGCCATTTCTCATGTCAAGGTCGCTCACTTCCAACCGCAAAGTGGATGTTCATCGCGTGTATGCTGTGAGGGAGGCTTTCTTTCTCTTTGACTTCCTCGACGGCAGTATAGAGGATCTGAGGCACTTGCTCATCCGGTCGGTGGTCACTCCAGCGTTTCTGCGCTCCGCAGAGGGTCGACGTTTCATCTCTTTCCTGTTTGGACTCAATCCTCAGCTCGTCAAAGAACTCAACGCGCTCATGCATTCGCAGATCCCGTTTGGGAGGAAGTCGATACTGGAGGCCTATGGAGACATTTTATATCGGGCTTGGAAGGGAGCGGCCGGAGAGATCTTGGTGGAAATCGAGAACTCGTGCTTACAGGTGCTTGTGGAAGGAGCGATATATGCGGCTAGCAAGACTTTGAGCTCGGCTTGCAGAAAAGTGTTAGAAGGATTCATTTCCCAGAGGGCGGAAGCTGGTGTCGAGGGAATGCTCTTTCGCCTTCAAGAGCCACTGCTTTTCCGTTCTCTACAAGTAAGTTTGGTTGCTTCTCATTCTGGCATGATCTAGCGCATTCATCTCCTAGGTGGCGAATTCCAACGTCAGGCGCAATGCTATTCTTTTATTGATCGACATGTTCCCTCTTCAACATCCCGAGGCGTCCAAGGAGGAAAAAGAAGCATTGATCGAGAGGCAGTTTGCACTTATAGAGAAACTTCTGCTAGATCCTTGCCCTGACGTACGAAGTGTTACTGTCGAAGGTGCGTGCAGAATTTTACGTTTATTCTGGGAAATCATACCTGCAGCAAATACCGCCAAGCTCCTCACCAAAATCGTGAATGATATTCCAAGTGATCAGAGCAGCAGCAGTGCACGTCTAGCGGTTTTGGAAGGGGTGACTTATTTATTGGAGAATCCTCACAGTCATGATATACTAAAGATACTGCTGCCGCGACTCTCTCCTATGCTAAACGATCCCGCAGTTACAGTAAGAACAGCTGCCGTTGATCTTCTCTTGGCGGTCAAAGGTATACGAGGCATTCCTTTTCACAAGGTTCGTAATCAAATTTGTCATCAAAACTTAGAAACTGAATTTGAATCTCAGGTGGCGCGTTTGGACTCGCTTCTGTCTATGCTTGCGGATGACTGCGATACCGTTGCACGTCGACTTACGAGGCTGCTGATACCATCATACTTTCCGACCAAAGCTCGTATAGTTGAGGCATGCAACCGATGCTGCACACTCATAAAGCGTTCTCCATCGGCCGGTGCAAGATTTTGCTCTTACGCTTCAGCTGAAGGAGTCCCTGCCGAGTCACTTTTTGAGCTCCTGAAGTTCCTTTGTGGCCTAGCTCTACCGGATTCGGAGTTGGATCAAGAACATCGAGAAGGTGTACTACTTGCAGTATCAGAGCTGGGAATGAGCTTAGTCAGTTTGGGACAGTGGAAGATCGCGGTTGGATCCCATCTGACTGGACAGCTACTCATGTCTCTACTGGGAGTAGCGGCTACATCCCAAACACGGAGCTCCATCGTCAGGCTTGCCTCATCGCTTCCTGCCAAGGACATCCCAGAGCTTGCAAAGTACTGCGGGGACCTTGTTATAACTTCGGCAAAGGATCTCACCGTTTTGGACTCCTCCAACGAGATCAGGGCTGGCAACTCGTTTGTGCTTTCCTGGGGAGGTTTCGAAGATCTAGCCGGCTCCCTTGTAGACAAGCTTGCGAGGTTCCGTGAGAACACTTCACTACAAGAAAAGCCTGGCTCTTCCAGGAGAAACGCAAAGGCCAAAGCCAGCAGGGTGAAGACTAGAAGCAGTCCGAGACAGAAAAACTGCGACACACTTTTTACTGCTGCTGTTGGAGCGGCCTGGCACGTACAAATATTTCTGGCCGAAAGTGACACGAGGAAAGCGTTGCTAGCATACCGCGATCTGCAGGATCTTATTTCTCGCCTGAGGCAGCTGGCGGAATACTGCATGAAAAATGTGGAGACGGTCACCAATCACCGACTGATATCGTCAGCGATTACTGCTTACGCAAATTTGACGATTCATATTTGCCTCGAGCGGAAGAAAGACGGGAACGTGAGGACCTCAACGGGAAGAAGGAAGAGACACCGGGTGGACGTATCCACCACAACTCCAGTATCAAATCCTTTGGTAAGTGCCTGCCTGCTAACATCTAATCCATCTTTGATTTGTATTGTAGGACGGCTTTGAAGACGTTTCGGAAGATTTGATTAACTTGGCACTGGAAATGCTTGACCGGCTGCAGACACTACAAGGTCTCTTTTTCTTCTTTGTTACTTTTATTTTATTCATCATTCATGTTTATTGTTTCAGGAAATATTTCTGTCTATCCGCTTCATGCAATGAAAATGGCATCGGCAACGTTGCGTTCGGTTTTAGAAGCTTTGAACCTTGGACTTTCAAGTAATGGAACTCTGCATTCCAAGACGATGCGCCTGGCTTGCTCAATTTTTACGACAATCCAAGCAGTGGTCAGAGGCGGAGCAGCAGAAGAATACTTACAGGAAATACTACCTTGTCTCAAGGCTTCGGCATCATATACAGGAAAGCTTCTTTTCCTGTGTAGAAGGGACAGGGGTCCACACTACGCTGAGGAACCAACGCTTGCTCATGACGTCCTGGATACTCTCGCCGTCATCGAGCAACACAACGTGGGAAGCTGCGTTTCACTTTTACCGGCTCTAAGGAAGTGGATTCCAGATATCGTTGCTGCAGTTTCAGAGAAGGTGGACTCGTCGGATACGGAAACTGTCCCCGCCTGGGTCAAGCATGTAGCTGCGGCATCGAATGAGGCTCCTGAAGGTTCCGAGGAAAATAACAGGACAAGAGACGATGGGAATCCGGACAACCAGGTTGGGAGTGTCGATCTGACGCAATCCATTCTGAAGGCTCTTCCGAAAGCCAGTAGAGAAGTACAGGAAGCCTTCGTTTGCCTTCTAGCACGACATACAGTCTCGTGCTTCGAAGGCAGTGATTACGACGAAGGCGTTGGATTAGTGCATCTAATATGTCGGAGGATATTGCGCTCCAAGGCCAGCTTGAGCGGCTCACTCCAGGACGATTTCACAAGGGTTTACAACAGGCTCTCGTCTATGGATGACGAGAGATTTCAAGCGACAATATTGCTTGTGAAGGAGGTTCTATTGCCATGCGAAAAGTAATGGCATGTAGCATACTGTCTTACCATTTACACTGACCTCGAGAAGGCGAGTCAATGGTGAATTGGCTCCATATACTCAGGTAATGCTCAAAACTAGCTTTCGTTGTTATTCACTTACACAAACTTGGCTATTGCATGCAGAACAAACCAACAGACTTCTTTTATGTTTAAGCTGTACATCAACTTCATTTTTTGCTCTCAGTAATAGTTGAATCTCTGCGTTCCACTGTGCATACTGAACTTTGGACCGCCATCCTGGTGACGGACTCTGTAGTGTCCCGGTCCGGGCCCGTTGTTCCTTCGGTCGTAGTCTCTGTCGAGCTTCCTTCCAATCGAAAAAGAAGGTGCGTTTCTAGCCGTCGCTTTGTTTTGACCGTATTCTCCAGGTCCTGGGGTCCCGTTCTTTGGACCACCACCTTTTCTGTGCAGGATGCTGAAGGCCGGGCCTCCCGAAAGTCTCGGCGAGTAAGACCCGGGACCGGGTCCAACAAAACGAGGAGCTTTCAGAGGTCTGTATCCCATGGTGTACGCTGGCGTCGTCCGAGGCCGAGTATGCTCGTAACTTCCAGGTCCGGGTGTTGGCTTTCCATTTCCTCCTCTTCTCTTACCTCCAATGGTGTATGAAGGACTGTTGGAGCGCTGCTCCGCGTTGTAGTGCCCGGGCCCGGGATTAAGGTTCCTCGTCCTGGAACTCGCTCGCCCGAGCATTGTATATGCCGGCTGCCTGTGAAGAGCTTGAGACAAGCCGGACTCAACTTGATACTGTCCAGGGCCGGGGCTTCTCTCGACTTTGTCTGCCTTCCGGTAAGCCATGGTATACGCTGGTCCTTGAATTCCTTCGGTGGGTCTGTATGCTCCAGGTCCAGGATTCTTGTTCAAGACGGCCTTTCCAGTCCGATAACCCATGGTATAGCAGGGACTTTTCGGCCGGTTATCGGGACTGTAAGCTCCAGGCCCAGGGTTATCCGCCCAGCCGTGAGGATGCCTCTTGCCGGAAATGGTGTACGAGGGGCCAGTCATGCTGCCTGGAAGACTATACTGTCCGGGGCCGGGGCTGATTCCACGGGGGAAATTTATCTTCCGCGAGCTCATAGTGTAGGCGGGCTCATTGGGATGAGTAACCAGGTGCTCCATGTTGTAAGTTCCAGGGCCGGGCACAGCGATCTTCTCCCGGTCGACAGTGGAGATTTTGGCATGGATGGAGTAGGATGGACTGGATCGGCCAGTGTCTGGGTAGTATGCTCCAGGTCCCGGGCTCTCCAAGTTGGGCAGTCCGGTGTGGGGCTTGGGAGCGATGGTGAAGGCCGGTGGCGTGGGTGTCACGGGGCGGACGCTGAGATTGTAGGCTCCCGGGCCGGGAGTCTTCTCCTTGCGCAGCATCTCTTACGCTTGGTGGTGATATCGTCTCAGACAGAGAGTGGTGGACTCGAGAGAAGAGGGTGCCTTCGGCCGAAAAGAATGCTGTGCTTGGTAGTTGGGCTCGGGTTTCAGCTGAAATGCCAGCTGGCAGTCCACGTCAGGGTAGTTAATTTTCATCTTCCAGGTCATCATGGTAAACAAAGCATACGGACTCAGGACAAAAGCAGGACGACACAGCAAATAAATAAACAATTTAGAGCAACATTAACTGGTTGCAATTTAAGACATTAAGTACTTTTATGCTTCTTTTATGGATTTTGATAATGAGAATATAATATGGAAATACATTGTCAGCACTATGTTAACCATTGAAGATAATAGATACTTGATCCTACATTAATAACATTAAAACAATCATTTCGAGAAACAAGTTATAGCTATTCATTTGTTATGATTCATGAATTAAAAATTGGTATATAATCACTTGTTAAAAAGAAATGAAACAAAAATTATTATACTCATTCCTTATAGATGTTTGAAAGCACTACATATGTTGCTCCATGTCCTGGATCCTTAACAAGAACATGCTCTGCTGCCATAGCTCCATCCTTGTGGCTTCTACATGCCGCAAGCAAGCACACCCATTCGCGAGCAGTGGGAACAAAGGGCATGATTCGAATGAGATCTTTTGCCTCATGCAAGAATGATGCTCGAGCCAGCATGTCAATCAAGCAGCAATAGTGCTCCTTTGTTGGATCCACGCCAAAATCCATCCCCATCGACAGAAACAATCTCCGTCCTTGGAAGAGATCGCCGTCATGGCTGAATGAAATCAAAACCGAGAGAATGCTCGTTGCATCGGGGAGATGTTCGAGTTTCATGGCGTGGAATGCTTCGATCGCTGAGGAGTGATCGCCGCTGCGAGCCAATCCGGAGAGAACCGCACCCCAGGACACGAGATTTCGCTCTGGAATCCCGTCAAAGAGCTTCTTGGCGGCGATCATCAGGCCCTGGCGGGTGTAAGCAAAGAGGAGAGAGTTCCAGGTGATGATATTTCTCTCTGGAATGCAATCGAACACGAACCTGGCGTGATCGATGGATTCGGCGCCACTGGCAGCGGCATAGGCGACGAGCAGAGCACTCCATGACAAAGAATTCCTCTCCGGCATCGCATCGAAGATCTTCTTCGCCTCATCCGTGAAACCCTGGCTTGCAAACGCCGAGACGATCGCGTTGAGCGTCACGATATCCCTCTCGGGCATCGCGTCGAGCACCGCAAGGGCACCTTGAATTTTCCCGCCCTGCGAATATGCCGTGAGCATGGAGTTTGAAGATACCAGATTCCACTCCGGCATCGCACGAAAAGCCAGCTCGGCACTCCGTACGTCTCCGTGCAGTCCGTACGCGCCAACGAGAGAGTTCCAAGAGACTAGGTCGCGCTTGGGCATGGCGTGGAAGAGCTCCACGGTCTCTCGGAGATGGCCGTTCTGCGAATAGCCGGCTAGCATCGCGTTCCAAGAGACGAGATCTTGCTGTGGCATAGCGTCGAAGAGACTCTTGGCGTCGCGCAATCGTTGGCCCTGCGCGTAGGCGGAGATCATCGCGTTCCAGGCAATCCAGTCGCGCTGCGGCATTCGATCGAAGATCGCCGCCGCGCGCTCGACCTCGCCGCTTGCGGAGGACGCAACCAGCAGCGCCGTCCAGGAGACCAGATTCCTCTGCGGCATCGACTGGAAGATCTCCAGCGCGCGCTCCAGTTGCCCCTTTTGGGCATGCGCGCTCAGCAATGCGGTCCAGGCGATAGAATCCCTCTCCGGCATTGCCTCAAAGATTGCCGCTGCTCCAGTGATCTCTCCTCGCTGCGTGTAGGCCGAAAGAATCGCCGTCCACGAAACTAGATCGTGCATCGCCATGGATCGAAAGATTTCGTCGGCGCCCGGTAGATCCCCAGCATGGGAATGCGCGGAGATCATCGCGTTGCATGCGATGAGATTTGGGCTCGGCATCGCGTCGAAGATCGATCGCGCCTCGTCGAGGCGGCCATTCTTGTAGCAAGCGGAGATCATGAGCACCCAGGTGTGGGAATTTCTCATGTCGATTGGCATGCCGTCGAAGAGCCGGCGTGCATCCTCCACGCTCGCGCAGCGCAGGCCATACATCTCGATCATCTTGTTGCAGACGAATGCATCGCCAGCGATGGTGTCTCGGATCGAGGAATGCGCGCTCCTCGCCGCTGCCAGATCTTTGCAAGACTCGATCAGTCTCACACATTCTCTGTGGTTCATTCAAGTCGCGCTAGCGTATTATTACCAGTGTCCGCTTTGAGCTGTCTATCGCATCCTCCAGAGATCAACCAAACAATGCTAGTGTCAATCCAGGATCTCGAGCTGGATTGATCAAAATCGCAGGAACGTCGAGTCCCGATTCCTTCGACACGGCTGTGATCGAGGCGGCCGCGTCCCTCCGCAGAGGATCGTAGCTCAATCCTGCGCTGGGGTAGCCACCAGATTACGAGGAAAACGAAGAGCGTCGCGGAAAAGGAGAATCGGCTCTTCAAATTTGGTTATCTCGAGCTGGAAGGCCTGGAGTTTTTCCACTTTGCAAATCTTAAACCTGGCACGAAATACAAGGTGGCTTCCATCCCCGGAAATTCTCAAGACTTCGAGCACTCCAGGATCGCCGAGACCTGTGAACTATAGCGTCAACTTCAGTTGCAACAATGTCTATATCCTAATTTTGTATCGTGCGTGAGCGCCAGAAAGGCTGACTATCTCATCCATCTCGTGCGAGTAAGACCCAAAACAAGGAGCTTTCAGAGGTTTGTATCCCATGCCGAGGCTGGGGGAAATTGATCTTCTGCGAGCTCATAGTTTAGGGCGGGCTCATGCCGATGTTGTAAGTTCCAGGGCCGGGCACAGCGATCTTCTCCCGGTCGACAGTGGAAATTTTGGCATGGATGGAGTAGGATGGACTGGATCGGCCAGTAGCTGGGTTTAGTATGCTCCAGGTCCGGGGCTCTCCAAGTTGGATAGTCCGGTGTGGGGCTTGGAAGCGATGGTGAAGGCTGGTGGCGTGTGGGGCGGACTGAGATTGTACACTCCCAGGCTGGGAGTCTTCTCCTTGCGCAGCATCTTTTGATGATGATACCTTCTCAGGTGAATCTGGACATAGAGTAGTGGAAGTCGAGAAGAGGGTGCCTTGGGTTTCAGCTGAAATGCCAGCTGGCAGTCCATTATCAGGATGGCAGCTTTTCCTAAACCAACTGTTTATATAAATTTGCACCTTGCAAAGCCATTTGTAAATCCCCTATACAATATTGTACTTGTGCATGGCATAGTCCAAGTGGCATTTTCCAATAGGGCAGAGTCCAGATGCCAATGAAATAAGCATATAGGTATTTCAAATGGTACATGACTATGAAATGATTCACATGTGAGTGGCATGGATGACTTATAGGTCATCTCATTCATCATCATTGTCATTGTCTAAGTGTGACTTAAAGTTCTTGAGGAGTTGTTCTTAGCCATGTTGTTTAATTTCAATAGTGTGGCAGGTTGTTATGGTAGCTAAATTGGTTTGGATTTTGGCACTAACTAAAGAAGTTTACAATGAGTAAGTCTTGCCCAAAGCTTAGATTTGTGAGATTGGACTCAAATGAAAATGTTGAGAATAGGTGTATTAGTGGAAGAAGAAAAACGTATGGGGTTACTATTCGGCTACAATTTCAATAAGATGGAAATAGTGACAATCCAGTGGTGAGTGGATGAATCTTTGAATTGGAGGGTTTTATTATGGTACTTCTTGTAAGAATTTAATATTTTTTTGAGGTTGAGGGGATTTGCTAGTGCAACAGCATTACACGTATGGATGCACTTGAAGATTCTGGACACAAAGACCATGGCTTATCTTACAAACTATTTAAGAACCAACACTGTATAAATATATGCAGGTGGTGAATACAAATTGGAGAAGGGTGTACCATATAATACTAATAGAGGAAGGTTTTAACCATGTCTGGATTAATATTCCCATGAATCATGCAAGGACATGGTGGGAAATTATCAACTCTTGCTCTTGTTATCGAGTAGTTGGTTACTATATTAGTAGGTGCTAAATTTGTGAGGCATTAGTTTTATATGATTAAAAAAGGTTGTAATGTAGGCATATATCATGAATTCATCAATAGATTTATACCAACAAGACAATATTATATGGATTGTAAGTGTTTTTCTTCTTTGTTTTTCCAACCATTATTTTTGTGTTTTTGTAGCATATTACAAACTTGTAATTTACAGGTTTTATGTCCATGCCATGATTTATAGAGCACTTTATTGTGGTTTATAAGCTGTCTACAAGCAAAAAGGCCCATACTATTTTCAACACATATGCACAGCTTGTATATTGCTTTAAGAGGCCGAAACGAATGAGGAGTGATAATGCTTCAAAACACAATGGCATGTAAGATGGTATGATCTAGTGCTGGGGTGTAAAGGCAAGAATCATATGCAAAACATCAATGTGAAACCAAGTAATTTATTTTTGCTTAAAGTTTACCTTTCTAAGACTTTTTTTTAAGGTGCATTAAGCATTTGTGGCAAGAATTGTATGAGTGAGTGGTGTGGTTTTACAAGCATCTCTTTGAGTCTATGGAGGATACTAGTATTCTTAATGTAAGCAATGCATGGCATAAATAAAGCTTACAAAGTGTATTTTCACTTTATCTCGCAAAAGACATTGTTGATTAGGTTGCAATATAAAATTTACATGAGGTTTATCCTTTTAGATGTGGTGATTACTTTAGAGCATCCCACATCCCTGCTAATTTATTTCAATTGATAGAGTGAAAACTCAAGTAAAATCAAGACTTGTTCTACCAAACATTCTGGCATTGCTTAAATTATTTTCTTTTTATCCAAGTTAGTCCAAGCTCCTTCGTAGAAGGATAAGATTTGCCAAGGGAACTCATTTGTAGTGTCGATAGAACAACTTTAGGACATATTAGTTTATTTCAATTTGCATTTGTTTTTCAAAGCCTTTTTTTTTAGGAAGTTAATTTTGTAAAAGACCAAGCATTTGCAATACACAAGGAAGGCTTAAACCCTGATAAGTAATATCTCCTCATTTGGATTTGTCTGTAGAGTGTGTAATAGTTGAAGTGCAAGGCCTAGATTTTGCAATGTATATCAACACTACACTATCAACTACAACTCTAGTGAAGAGAAGAGATTTACAAAAATTACATTTAGGTTTAACTAGCACCAGTTTCATTCTCCTTATACAATAATATATTGACTCTATATCAAAGATTTACTTCTATAAGTAGTAGATTTGATAATGTGAGTATTGAGTTTATAATATTTTTAATTAAACTTCATATTAAACACAAAACCTAATCCAGCAAATTTAATCTTATTTGTGAATATTTTAGGCATTTTAAGTTGAAAATATAATAAGCATTTAATATACCCTAAGGCTATATTAAATTTAAGTATAAATTTAGTGATTTATTATATTATTTAAGAAGTAGAATAATTAGGGTTTTTATTATATTGTATTTTAATAATTAGTATATAGTTGGTTACCTGTCCAGCCTATTGCACAAGATGGAACTCACAATTGAGTTGATCATATTTGGATCTTCTACATGTGGATCATCTACACTCAGATCTTCTACAGTTGGATCTTTTATGCTTAAATATTCTACAACATCACTCAACACACACAAAGTTGGTATTATGGTTGCAATGACAAGGAGCCTCCTAAGACTCAACATCCCATCTAAGCATATCCACCATGTACCACAATGGAGCAAGGCTACTCATTGAAAGACTCAACAATTTTGAGAATGCTGATGTACTTACACTATAAGTCATCTATTAATAACTTGCTAATCATTTGCTGAATCTTGCTGATCACTTTTTTAGAAGTTATCACTTCTAGGAATGATGCCTTTTGCCGATATACCAACCTAGAACAGAATGGTTTCATCCTGTCCTCATGGTTTATAGTTTGTACTTGGAAAGTATTGCTAGATGTGTTGAGAGAACTCATGAAAGATAAATTGTAGGTTAATGGTTAAAGGTGGCCAAAGTTGTTAAATGTAGGGTTTTTATATCGGTTTAGGGTAGGGATTTAGGGCATAGTGACATTTTTCCCTTCTTAATTATATTTGATAACTCCAAGATTGAACTCTTCATTTCCAAGCTTTATTGAGAGAGTTATGGTGATTTAGCAAGAGTGCCCATCAAGTGTTGGAAGAATCATCATGATTGTTCTCTATGGTGAGTAACATGCCTCTATTTTGGTAGTGATTGATTGTTTCACTGATTGTGCCATCACAAGCTATACCACCAGGTCTCGTAATCTAAAGAGGTGGACCCCCAACTCCACTAGGAACTTGCCCCTATATGGATGGTGTTGTGGCTGTTTTGCCAATTGCCTTTGAGCAAGTAGAGCACTATATTGCATTCTATACATTGTAACATATGAGCAACATTTAGTAGGTTATGTTTTCATCTCCTTAATGTCATGGCTCTGCTAATAACATTTCCTCCCCACCACAACTAGGGCTAACACCACATCAATAAGTTATTGGGCAAAGTGCAAGACCTTCTACTCCAACCCTAGTTTCCACATAGGCTTCTAGTGCCATGCGAAGCAGCAACAACTGTAGCCGAAGTAGAAGCACTACAAAGATCAAGTCTGTGAGTGCTTCCACAACCCCATCCACCTCCTAAGAAGTGACTAATGAGTGTAAGTGTTTTGTCCATCTTATTCTGTTAAATGACTCAATTATACCTTGATGATTGGCATATTATCCATTTAATCACAAAGTTGCCTCTCCCTTTCCAATCCATGTTATGGCCATCTTTATCATCGTCCTTGGCACTTTCAATCACACCATTATACGCTATATTGCTTAATTACCTTCCTATGGAACCACAAGTAATCTCACTATGTTGTAGCCTCCTATATTATTACTATGGATGCATAGTGTTTGACAATATAAAGTCTTTCTCCACTTGTAGTAGTGCAAACCTTTGTTGACAATAATCAACAAAGTTTGTCCTCTCGACATGGATATCCTAGAAGACACTCTAAAGTTATAGTTAGTATTGTGTAAGTGACTAAATTTTCCATTCTACTTTAGTCACTTAACCACACATTTAATCACATGGAAGAATCTCACTCATGACCTTCATAAGTTCTATTCCCGACTTGAGGATATGTTAGCCCCAAGAAAGGCATCTATGCCATTTAGCCTTTGCAATTGGTCCAAGTGCTCCATGTGTCCAATCCCATGACCGACACCCAAAAGTACTAACAACATATTAGCCCATTATGCTAAGGCCATGCCCATTCACTTTTGTCATACTGGAACAAGTGCATGCACAAGTCCTATTAGATCTTGACGAAGTGCTAGCCACAACATTCTCAGCTTGATCCAGTCCAACATATTTGGCTCCGCACAAAGCAAGAGGCTTAAAAAACGAATGTCAAATTGCATCATCAACTCAGATGGTCCTTGACAAAAACAATGCAATTGTTGAAAAGCATCATCACAATCGTTGGCATGTCCAAATGCACATTTGAAGACATCTGGGAAAATACTACGTTTAAACTATTGTACCATTGCAGTGC